TTACAAAACAATTATGGTGGCTATTCTTGGTTGTCAATTTAACTACATCTGGAATTAACTAAAACCCAAGTGTCTGAGTACACCTGAGGTATTTTTTTTCTTAATTAAATCTTTGGAATTGGGAAGATCCCTTTTTCATCTGGATCTTTTGAGGAGGGAAAATCCACTTTTATCTGGGCCACACCCTCTGCTGGCAGCCTATATAAAGGCCATGGAAGAAGGAAGCTTACTCTCTTGGCCTCTTTCCTCTAGCTCTCAGTGGCAAGTCCATTTCTTCATTGGCATTAAAGCCTACTTCTTCAGGATTCTGGCATATTCTGAAGACCAGCTGAGACATCCAGTCTGGTGTGAACAACTACTGGATTTTTGGACTCTCCATTGGTAGACAGCCATTGTTGGACTAGCTGGAGGATAGCCCATAAGCCATTCTAATAAATCCTCTTAGAATATGTAGTGTGTGTGTGTGTGTGTGTGTGTGTGTGTGTGTGTGTGTGTGTGTGTAACCTCTTAAAGTCTCCACTTTGTGCAATACCATATTGGTATTGCATCAAAACACAGCTTTCTAGGAATACATAACACTCAAGTCCAAGTCAGTACAATTAGCAGCTTTTGCTCTGTGAAAGAACACATGAAGCAGATGGAAAGAAAAACTGTACTCTTGAAAGAGAAAATATTCTCAAACCATATATCCACCAAAAGTGTAGGATCTAGAATACATAAAGATTTCTCAAAACACAGTAGTAAATCCAATTAGAAGGTAGTCAAAAGACATAATCAGATATTCCCTTGAAAGGATGGCCAATCTCATTAACCAGGAGGGAAAGCCGTGCTAAAGACACAGGAAGACACTACTACAATCCTATTAAATAGTTTGTTTTTAAAAAGAAAGGAAAATAGCAATAACTGTAAATAAGTTGACAAGAATAAAGGAAAACTCTATAACATAAGGGAAAGTTTGGCCATTTCTTAAGAACTAAACATGTAATTACACCATCCAAGAAATCATACCCGTGAATTTTCCACAGAGGAAAATGAACACCTACGTTCATGCACAAAAATATTCATTAACTTTACTCGTAGTAGTTAAGGGCTGGAAGCAGCCCTTACACCCTTCGGGAGTTGAATGATTGAACTGTGAGCTCTCTACATCACACGGGACAATTGCACAAAGAACAGAAATAAACTTGTGACACAGGCAACAACTTGGATTAACCTCAAGAGGATCCTGCTAGATGGAAAGGCAGGGCCACTAGGGTAACACACACACACCCTTTGCACTATTCCATTTTTTGTAACATTTTGAAAAGATACAGTTTAGAAATTGGGTGCAAATTACAACAGTGTTTGCCAGGGTTAGAGATGAGGGGGAGAGAGAGGCTGGGTGTGGTAGAGGTGGGGATGGCTCTAAAAAGGTAACCCAGGGTCATGGGATTGTTTTGTACCGTTGACTCTAGTAGAGGATATCCAAACCTATGCATGGGATCAAATTTCATAGAATTAAACACACACACACACACACACACACACACACACACACACACACACACACACACACACAAAACATCTAAATAAGGTCAGAGGAGTGTGGGCCACTTGGCTAGTGTGGATTCATGCCTTGTTGACATTCACTTGAGAATTAGGAAACAGATGGTCTAAGAATCAGGAATCTCAAGCATTTGCCCTATCTGCAGGTCAGAGAAGGGACAGTGATGCCTACATCCACTGTGTTCACATCAAATTTCTGATAGAGATATTATACTATCTATACTTTGCAAAATGTTTCTATTGGGGAAATTAGGTAAAACATATCAGAAGATCTCACACTTATTTATTACATTGAATATGAATCTCTAATTTTTTTTCAAATTTATTTCAAAACGACTGTCCATTTTAAAGCACTGAGCTGACCATTGGTGAGGAAATGCTGGCAAACTGAATAACCATACAAAATCTGGTAGTTGATAAAAAGCCAAACATGCAACTACAACACAACTAATAAACTGTTTCCTAAATGGCAACCTTTCTAATATAGAGTTCTAGATATTTTCTACTCAGTTGTACTTTTTCATTCATTAAAAAATATCTTTTAAAATTTTAATAATGTGTATGGGGGAGTACATATGAGTGCAGGTGCCCAAAGAGGCCAGAAGAGGGCGCTGAAATTTTCTGGAGCTGCAGTTACAGGCAGTTGTGAGCCACTAACTAATATGGGTACTGGGGAACCAATAATGTGTTTGGTGATTAAACTTTCTTTTTAATTTGCATTAGTAGTGTTTTGCTGTGTAAGAGTGTTGGGTCCCCTGGAACTGGAGTTACAGACAGTTGTGAGCTGCCATGTGGGTGCTGGGAATTGAACCTGGGTCCACTGGAAGAGCAGTTAGCGCTCTTAAACACTGAGCCTTCTCTCCAGCCCCCAGATGAAAGAAGACATGGAAATAAGAAGAAAGTATGCCAGCATCAGCACCAAGGTTGTATGCACTCTATCATCATCTATCTATCTCTACTGTTGTGCTGTCTCTCTGCATTCAAGACACTATGCATGCTACTGCTTTCTCATACATGAGTTTAAAAGAATGGTGAATATCAAGAGTAGGCAATACTGTTGCTGCAGAAGAACCTGGTCCCTAGCACACAATGATGTCAAACTCCAGCTCCAGAGGATCCAGCATCTTCTTCTGAACTCTGAGGATACCAGCATTCATGTGTGTGTGTGTTTTCTTTCATTGGATTTCTCACGGTGGAGCCTTTAAAGAAATCAAATGAGTGTTTTGGATTTCCTTATTCTGTCGTGGAACGGCATGTCAGTCCCCTCCCCCCAGTGCTATGCTCCCAGTTACAAGAGCTTTGCAAGGCTTCAGAGAGTGTACAGCACCTCCCCTGGCTTTGTCCTCCTGCAAAACTCACCAGAAAATCTGCAGATGCTCCATGGTCATACGGGGTTTTAGAAACAATGTTTATGTTGAAAAGATTGGTGTTTTAGTAGACCCTACTTTAGATCATCCAATTCATACATGGGGATATGTAGCTATTCATTTAGGTCTTTTAATGCTCACCAACAATATGTCATTTTCAGTATTGAGATTTTTACCTACTGTGTCAAATTTATTTCTAATTATTTTGTAGTTTTGAAACTGTTGTAGATGGAATGTTTTTAGATTTTTAATTGTTAATTCTTAATATTAATATAAAAAAGCACAATTGTTTGGGCTGTGGGGTTGCATATCTTTAATCCCAGCAGTTGGGAGGCAGAGGCAGGTGGATCTCTATCAGTTCAAGGCCAGCCTGGTCTACAAGAGCAAGTTCCAGAACAGCCCGGGCTAAACACAGAAATCCTATCTCAAAAAAAAACAAAACAAAACAAAAATAAAATAAAAATAAAAGCTCAGTTTACTTTTATATTAATGTTGTATCTTGAAGTCTTGATGGATTAATTTATTAGTCACAGTCATAGTTTTGTAGATTCTTTTGGATTTTGGTATGTTAATAAAGTTTATAAGTACTTATCTTTGTGCTTTTTTATTTTCCTTATAATGTCTTATTACAATAGCTAAGACTGCCAGTATGACATTCAATAGCAATTATGTCTTGTTCCTAGATTTATGGAAGAATAGGCCATTAGTTTATCAATAAGTATATAGCTTGTCTGTTTTCTTAGGCAAACATTTGTCAAATTTAGGAGCGTTTTTTTATTACTAGTTTCCTGAGAGCTATTTTCTTTATCATGAATGACTGTTGCAGTCACTGTGACGTGATCACATTGTGTATAGCAGAATGAATGCTATTTCAGAATGCTAGGGAATTTTTTAATTCCTTGAAAACTGGATTGAATTTGACAATGGTTATGTTGAAGATTATGGAGAAAACAATTTTTACACTGTTGCAATAGGGCTTAACTATAATATTAGGTTTAACTTCACAGCCACAGCTACTACTTGATATATACCTTCACAGGCATTAGTGACTGTCCTCTCAGATAGCAAGATGTTATAAGACACATTTCTAGCGAGTTCTGATGACTGCTTAAAGTGAGAAGGCTTCATATATAATGAGATGAATGGTCACATGTATTTCCCATCACCTTTTAATTTCAAATAAGTTTAGTCATAATTAGAATCATTGGCATTACTTAAAATTCATATTAAACAAATCATAGTTTTATGCATGCATTAATATAATATTTTTTTTTTTTTTTTTTTTTTTTTTTTTTTTTTTTGGTTTTTCGAGACAGGGTTTCTCTGTGTAGCTTTGCGCCTTTCCTGGAACTCACTTGGTAGTCCAGGCTGGCCTCGAACTCACAGAGATCCGCCTGGCTCTGCCTCCCGAGTGCTGGGATTAAAGGCGTGCGCCACCACCGCCCGGCCAATATAATATTTTGATACAATTATTTTTATACCTGGAAATCAGTATTAACTTTTAAAGTAAAATTTTGTCCTTTATATTGTTAATATTTAGCTGTTAAATTATCTTGTTTTTTTAATTACAAGGCTTATAATGATGTATAAAAATATCACTTCATAAGCAAACAACACATGAATCTATATAATCTATTATACATAAAAGCAGTAAATATTTTTGGTTGTGATCCTAGCCTTTAATGGCTGAGCCATCTCTCCAGCCCAATAAGCCAGGCGGTGGTGGCGCACACCTTTAATCCCAGCACTTGGGAGGCAGAGCCAGGCGGATCTCTGTGAGTTCGAGGCCAGCCTGGGCTACCAAGTGAGTTCCAGGAGAGGTGCAAAGCTACACAGAGAAACCCTGTCTCGAGGAAAAAAAAAAAAAAAAAAAAACAACAACAACAAAAAAAAAGCAGTAAATATATGCTAATTGAAATAGCCACACTTATATGTATTTCTGTTCTTATTTTAAGGGCCTTTTTTCTAGGTACAAGTTTGTTTTCTAATTAGCATTCAGCACATAATCTGTTTAAGATGTTTTGTAATGATTTCTCTGTTTTAATCTTTGCAAATGATAACAGATGGTATGGCCCTTGTTTTTTACAGATCAATAAGCAGAAAGAAGACATGGAAATAAGAAGGAAGTATGCCAGCATCAGCACCAAGGTTGTATGGACTCTATCATCATCTATCTATCTCTACTGTTGTGCTGTCTCTCTGCATTCAAGACGCTGTGCACGCCACTGCTTTCTCATACATGAGTTTAAAAGAATGCTGGATATCAAGAGTAGGCAATACTGTTGCAGAAGAACCTGGTCCCTAGCACACAATGATGTCAAACTCCAGCTCCAGAGGATCCAGCATCTTCTTCTGAACTCTGAGGACACCATACACACACACACACACACACACACACACACACACACACACACACACTTAAATAATTCTCTAAAAAAAGACTCATCTGCAAGTTAAACAAGATGGGTATGTGGAAGATAGAAAATGAAGAAAGTAGGGAGGGGAAGAAGAAGCTGAACCGTGGAACCAGCAAGCCATCCCTCAGAGAGGCTGCTCCAAACCCTAGGCCCAAGTTCCTCCTTCTTTCTTCCCCGTTTCTGCTTCCTTGCCCTTTTCCCACCTCGACACAAAGCTCAGCCTGCCACCTCACCAGCTTCAAAAGGCCTGTATCTCTACAGGTGCTGCCAGGGAGTGTCCACCTGTTTCTATGTTTTTTCCTAGAACAATGGGTTAGAGGGACATTCAATCCCAGCTGCTAATCAAGGCAGGCAAGGGTGGGCTGTGGAACAAGGGCAGATTCACATCCACTGAGAATGAACCTGCTCACTCTGGGATTCTTGCTTGGGGGAGGGTAAGTAGTGGGGGAGAGCTACAATTCTAAGTGATGAAATAAGAATAATTCTTGACTCTTTTGGGCAGAAAACAACCAAGGGAAGAGATTCTGCTTTTTACTTACGGCCTTCAAGTCGTCAATCCAAGAGCGTGACGTTATCTGAAGATGGACATGTTATAAGGCCACCTTCTGCTTCCCTCAGTGTATCACCGAAGCTAAAAAGGAAGTTTTCAAAGAAATATGTTGGTGCCGCCGTCGTTCCTAGCTCTGCTGCTCCTGAAGCAGCTGCTGCTCCTGAGGCAGGTGCTGCTCCTGCTCCAGCTCCTGGTGCAGCTCCTGGTGCAGCTCCTGGTGCAGCTACTGTTCCTGTCGCTCTTCTCACCACGCCTGTTGGTTCTGTTGTTACCGATTTCGTTGGAAAGGCCGATAAGGAAAAGCATGTAAGAACCATGTGCATCACCTCTCTCTGCTGCACTTCACGAACTTCATGTGCACAGGGTTCCTGACTTGTTAGCCTTTTCCAGCTGCAGCCTCACGCCTCCCACTTCCTGCCAGCATCATCCAGGCCCACTGTCTAACACACCTGACTCTCATATAGGGATAAGGGTTCTGGCAGTTAACCAGGGGGTCTTAGTTTTCTCAGAATGATATTTCTGTTACGCACAGCTGGCTGCATTGTGTAGGTTAGTTAGTAAGCCATAGTAAATCTCTACTGAGAAGCTAGATTCTAAGTGCTTGTTAGGGCACATATCTTTAACTCCTTTCTGTATAGTATTATATTACGGATGTCTCCCTGAAGTACATGGAAGGATCTGGTCCCCTTGGACACACAAGAGTCTACACCTCACAGCTAGATTAAATAACACTATTGGGAACAGATATACACCAGCTGTAAACTGTTGCTCTTCTTAGCCTGTTATCAAGTCCTCTGGTGCTCAGCTGATTGGTGGCTTATGACAGCTATGGCGGCACCATTCCCTAGGCATGGGTTCTAGACCGCATACAAAGGAGAAAGCTGGCTGAGTACAATCATTCCTCCTCTTCTGCTTCCTGACTGTAGATACAGTATGAGGAGACCTCTTGTTGCTTTGACTTCATGATGGGCCATACCCTGGAACTAAGAGCCAAAACAAGAAGCCCTCTCTCCCCCAAGTTTCTCTTGTAAGGTTATTGAACAACAGCAACAAGTAGCAGATGGGCATGGCTTATTACTGGGTAGTGTATTCTCCAAGACTGCCCTTTGTGATGGTCCCGGGGAGAATTTTCTTTGTGCTTTGCTGTGGGGATATTGATGGTTGTTGGTGCACATGGTCTACAGGCACCACACATTGTGTGTAACCAGACAAGATTATTTTCTGGGCTGACTTTCAAAGAGCTTAGATCCAACTAGTGACTCAGTGGGCCAATGGAGAGCCGTTCACATTAGCGTGTCCACTTGGATGTTTAGATCTCTTGGGTTCCAAGTCTTGTTCTGCCAGGGCCCCATGTTCTTCCTCCCCTCCAGGTGGCAGAATCTGCCTATCTATCCACAGGACACATAAGAACAGAGCAGAATTATACAGTCGTGTGCATCTTGCTTTTGAAAAGGGGATGGGAAAGAACACAGGCCTCTTAAGCCATTTAATCAGAGACACAGATCACTCCCTTCTCAAGTGAAGGAGAGAGAAAGAGGGAGACTGGGTGTTGCTCTAGCAGGGAGTCAGTCTGCTAGGGAAGGAAGCACCGAGGTGAGAAAAATCATTCTCAACTGGTATAGTGTTGCTTGCCTGTGTGATCCCAGCACTCAGGAGGCAGAGGCAGGAGGATCATTACTATTGTTGGTATTTTTTCTCTTTTGTTCTTTGGGGAGCCTGCCATCCAGCTCCCTAATAGATCACACAGAGACTTATTCTCATTGATGAATGTCCAGCCTTAGCTTGGTTTGTTGCTAGCCAGCTTTCCTTAACACATCTGTCTTTTGCCTCTGGGCTTTTCCTGTTCTCTTACTTCTGTAAATCTTACTCCTACTCCATGGCTTGCTGTGTAGCTGGGTGGCTGGCCCCTGGAGTCCTCCTCCTTCTCTGGCTCCCTCTTTGATCCCTCCTCCCAGATTTCTCCTTCTATATATTCTCTCTGCCTGCCAGCCCCACCTATCCTTTCTCCTGCCTAGCTATTGGACCATCAGGTGTGTTAGACAGTCAAAGTATCAGCTTCACAGAGTTAAACAAAAGTAGCACACCTTGAAATAATATTCTTCTACGCACTACAGCAGTAAGTCTGAGGCCAGTAAGGACTACATTGCAAGTCTTGCCTTAAAAAGAGGAAAGCCAAGAGCAAAAGAGATGGGGGGTGGAGAGAGACAGAAAAAGAAGGAAGGAAGGAAATATATACGTTTCCACTGTAAAAATTAGGAGGTAGAGTCAGGTGGAAGGCTATATGAACCTCCAAGGAAGAGACTTTGTACATGACTGACCAGTGGCTCGGTTCTAAAGTGACTATTTTATAATCCAGATATTGAGAAGGGTGTTTTTAAGTTTCCACCAAACAAAAACTGATCAAAGGGCTGGGAAGATGGATAAATGATTAAGAATGCTTGTAGTACAAGCATGAGGATCTGAGTTGGAGTGCCCAGAACTCATGTAAAAAGCCAAGTGTGGCTGCTTATGCCCATACCCCTCGCCATTCCCAGGTGAGACAGGCCAGCCAGTCAGCCTAGTCAAACAAGGTGTCTTGCTCCATAAGGGACCCTGTTTCAAAGGAATAAGGTGGAGTAGAGTAAGACAACTGAGGCCCTCCTCTGGGCTCTGACTGCTTGGGCTCATCTCTCTCTCTCTCTCTCTCTCTCTCTCTCTCTCTCTCTCTCTCTCTCTCTCTCTCTCTCTCTCACACACACACACACACACACACACACACACACACACACACATGCTGACAATCAAAAACTAAAGACTGGTCTGAGTGGTTAGTGCCACCCACCTGTGACAGGAGAAGAGAGACCAACCAGCCAACCTGGGTGACCGTGATAGAAGAGCAAAGGCTTCTTGCCCAAGGATCATGGGGACAATGCTATGCCGCCTAGTTTTTCTAAAACAAGATTTTTAGGAACATCTGGAGATGTAGCTCAGTGGTAGAGTACTTGCCTACCATGCGCAGACCCACAGATTTCACCCCCAGCACTCCCAAAAGTTTTTTCCCTGAAGGCTCACATCAAAGAGACAGACTTTTAGGAGTACAGATCTGTCTCCTCCTCTAGTGTTGTGGGAAGAGAGGAGAGACTGCTCTATTGGACCATGGAGGGAGGAGGTGTTAGGGTTTTGAGGGGTAGGTTCTGGCTGCCATTATGCCTCCCTGCTTGTATCTGTTGGAGTTTTTAACATGGCAAGGAGGGACGATCTTGTGGCCTCAGAAGGCCACTGACTTGTAAACTTCACTTTGTGAATTTCCATCCCTGAAAAGTAGGTTTTGAACCATCTTTAGGTAGATTCTGGAGGTTTTTTCATAGAATAAACTTAAGCAAATTGTTGCTTAAAGGGTTTATGGCCATTTAGCAGAATTCAATGGGGCCCTCACACAAGTCTTTGGCTTCCTCGGTGAGCTGGTGCTGGGCAACTTGTTCCAGAAGGTGTCAGTGGACAGTGAAGGGGATGCCTTTTCGGAAGTGTCTGGGGTCTGAGGTCCTAGATTCTGCCTAGATAGGGCAGCAGAGCAGCATCAACAGCCAGGCCCAGCAGCTGAGCTCCCATCCTGAGGTCCCAGCAGCAGGGGGCAGCTGCACTAGCCGCCTCCCTGCCCCCCTTCATGACCCCAAGGCTGGAACTGAATCCTAGATATCGGGCTCAGAATCTCCTGTGCCCTCAATATAGATACATGCTGAGCTTTCAACATTGAGAGGCAAAGACCCCTACCCCCAGCACTTTCCCACTGAGAAGACACAAAAAGAGAGAGGAAAGGCCACTTAGGGTCTCTGACAAGTACAATTTCAGTTGGCTTTTCTCCTGGTATCACACTCTCTTCTGATCGGAATGACTGTTATCTAGAGGTTTCCAGAGCTTCAGGGAACATTTTGTCAAGTGGTGAGATGCTCAAGTTAATGTTTAACAATAAGCACAAAGTGGACAAGAGAGGGGCATGGCGACCTAAGCTGGTCCTCACTGTCACAGTAATTGATTCAATTTTTAAATACATTTTCTGCTTTGCAGTTATTGCCGTCCCCTATGTTAGTCGTCATAATCCCGTGGTCATCCTCCTGTGGGATTCCTTTTGCAGTGCATATTAACTCCATCAGAGCCACTCTGCTTAGGACTACCTTTAAATGTTTAACTCAGAGGGTCGCTAGACTTCCTTAAATGACCTTTAAAAGGCTTTCTAATATCCACGACGTGCAAATGACCGCATGGAAAGCTGGCTGCTGGAACTTTTACAGCAGTCATTTCACTTCCTAATTAATCATACTTATTTTTGAAATGTGTGTCATTTGGTGGGAACGGTGCACATGCTGCCTGGGGGAGGCACACAGCGATAAGGGCAGTGTTTAGCCAGTCTGAAAAACCATGACACACGCATTGCCTTCAGATATCAGTTTAGAAACGATTTCATAACATAACATTTGTATTTGCACAGGGTACTTATGTAAAGTTTATTTTTTTGATAGCTGTAAAACAGTTTAAATACTCAGGTTTTATGTATCAAGGTTAAACTGGATTCCCAGGTTTCCCGTCCCCCTCATCCCACCCCAAGTAATTAGTTAATTAAGGTCACACCCAGTCAATGCTTCTCTGGAAGACTTCTGAGCCTCCTTTGGGGTAGCCTGGTCTATGCTGACAAGCCATATGGCATGCGCTTTGGTCTGCTCAGGGCCCTTCTGTGTGGGAAATAGGACAAGGGACAAGGCCAATCTTGTTCTTGTTCTCCTCACAATGCAAAGCAATTTCTATAGGCAAAAAAAAAAAATCTCCCAAAAAACAAAGGAACAAAAACTATACTATATTTAACATTTACTAATGACTAGTAAAATAGTTTTGCAATAGTTTGCGGTTAGGACTATAATCATCCTGCAAGCTAGTAATTTTTTTTTTTTTTTGGTTTTTCGAGGCAGGGTTTCTCTGTGTAGCTTTGCGCCTTTCCTGGAACTCACTTGGTAGCCCAGGCTGGCCTCGAACTCACAGAGATCCGCCTGGCTCTGCCTCCCGAGTGCTGGGATTAAAGGCGTGCGCCACCACCGCCCGGCTTTTTTGTTTGTTTTTTTTTTTGTTTTTTTTTTTTTGTTTTTTTTTTTTTTGTTTTTTTGCAAGCTAGTAATTTTTAAAATATGATTGTATGTTACCAAATTATTGTTGTCTACCAAATTATGCTATCTCCACCATTAAACTTTTTTGTTTGGCAAAATTATGCATGAAGTTTAAAACAAACTGTACAGGGGAAGAAAGAGATATACCTGTTCATTGTGCAGTATTTCATTTGT